GGCCCCTCCCTGGCCCCTAGTCTTTCCCCTTGGCTTTCTGTCTGGTGGCTGTGTAGGGAAGTACTGTCTGCGTGCTCTTGTCTGACACTGTTTGGGTGCTGCTGTTCCTCATGACCCTTCGGGTCTGCTCAGGGGCCAAGGTGGGGCCTGGGCATCGGCCAGTCAGTGGAGAGCGCCTCGGCTTGTTGGGGGCCAGGGAGGTATTGAAGGGGCCCACATGGGCCTCTGTACAAAGAGGCTCTGGGGACAAGCCCACTTCCTCCTCTGCCACTGCCTCCTCACCATCCCCCTCCTCATCATCACAGCACAAAGCATGGTAGAGCACTTTGTCACTGAATCGCACTCTCTCCCGTGTGCCTGGGGTCCGCTGGGGCAGCTGCCCCTTGACAGGGCCGGTGCTGAAGGCCTCCTCACTGGAGGAGTCTGGGGTCTCCACCCGAGGCCCATTAGGGATGGGCATGCCACCGTTCATGAGTCGGTAGTCAGAACCAGCCCCTGGTTGTGTTGGCTCGGGGCCATCCATGGAGTCTGAAGGGGTAGAGACATCCAGGAAGGAGCAGAACTCCCAGCTGTCTGAGAGGATGTCGGCTGTCATGAAGTCCAGGTGGCCCAGGTCAAAGGGGCCGCTTACACCGGCCTTGTCGCTGCTGGAGGTGCTGCTCACAGTGGCCGTGGTCCAGTCATCTGGCTCCAGTTCAAAGTCGAAGTCTGAGGTTAGCTTATCTATTTGGCTCACCACCTGGCCAGGGAAGGGCAGAGGCATGAGAGGGGCCAGGCTAGACCTGGCATCACTTAGGTGTAAGCATGCGCCCCACCCCCTGCCATATCCCCCGGCTGATGATCCTACAGGATGGTGTCTGTGCTTGAGGTCACAGGCTTGTTTGCCCTGTGGAGGGCCCAAACTGGACCAGGGTGAACAGAGCTTGTTCCTGCCATTCCAGTTTTCCACTCCTCAGTCTCTTGGGTGGAGGAGGGACTGTCTTCCAGCCCTGTACTCCATCCATTCACACACCCCTCTCCCCCATAGCCAGCTGCTGTTCTGGGGCAGCTCTGGTGCTCAGAGCTTGATCTTTCTTTGACTGAGAGGGGGCTATTTAAAGAGGGTGGTTACTAGGGGGAAGGAGGGGTGAAGAGTAAAGGGTAAAGGGGGCCAAATATATGGTGATGGAAGATGATTTGACTTTGGGTTATGGGCATACAATGCAATATACAGATCATGCATCATAGAAATGTACACTTGAAACCTATATGACCCTATTGACCAGTGTCACTCCAATAAATTTAGAAATAAAATTAAAAAAATAATAAAGAGGGCTGAGAGACTCTAGCCAGTCCTCTTAGTGGAAAGGTGAGAAAATGATATGGATGACCATGAGGAAGCATCCTGGGCCAGCCTGTGCAGCTGGTCAGCAACTGTCCTCCAAGGGTCTCCACCACCCTACCCCCAAACAGCCCTGAGCCTTCTCCCTCCTTCCTTTCTCTGGCCTCTGATGACTGGAGATCAATCCTGGCTTGTTGGGGAACAAATAAAACAAGCATTATTGGTAAGCAATAAAAAACCCCATCCATCCTGGGCCCAGAGGTGCCTGTTAAATGACTTGGAGTGGGACAGGGGACAGCTCAACTGTGAGGTCACTGCAACCTGCCCACCCCACAAAAACTAAAGCTCTGATTCCATGCAAGGAGCCCTGCCTCAGGACATCTCCTGGCCTAGGCCACTGTGAGGGGAAGGGAGAGCCAATCAGAGACATAGGGAGAGGACAGTCAAGAGGAGGAGAGAGGCTTCAGGCCAAAAACAAAAATAGCGAAACATAAAACGCAAAGCAGAGGAACCAAGAGACCCAGAGACAAAGCCATATGCAGTGAGTCACCAAGCCCAGGGCCCCTCCCAGTGTCTTGCCAGTGTTCTTACCTGAAGTCAGATCAGTTAATTGGTTACCTAATGAAGTTCTTAGTCAACAAAACTTTACCTAGGACTGCTGCTGTTCAATGATGTGCTAGGTGTTTGGTGAGGAGTTGGGATGAGGAGTTCCCCAAAGCAAAAGAGGAAAGCAAAGACAAAACTGAGGGGTCAAGAGGAGTCTGGGTCACTGGGATGTCTGCTTAGTTAGGGGTCAGGGGCCCCATGCAGGTGACCTGGTCAATCAATTTCCCACTTAGGTCCCAGTTTCTTAATCTGTAAATGGGGAGTTGGGTGAATTGGTTGATCTCCAAGGTCCCTTTCATTGCTGAGATTCTAGGAATGGCTGAAGAAGCTGTTTTGGGGTGTTGATGCCTAGGGATGCCCACTCCCCATGGCCCCAGGTCAAGGGTGGCTGGAACATGAGGCTGAGGCCTGCAGAAGAGCTGGAGGAATCAAGACACCTGAGTTCCAGACTCAGACACTGCTTTGTGTGTTTTTGGTAAGTCACATAACTTCTCTGGACCTCAACTGAATTCACCACCAAGTAGGCCTGATAACCCCAGCCCTGTCAACCTCACCACAGCTTCATGTGAAAGGGTTCCATGGGGCACTGGTGATAAAATTGACATCATCTCCCTTCTCTGATCACCTACTATGTGTCAGACTTTTCACTCATGAGGTCATCATCTCCTGAGGTCACAGATAATGGGCCTGAGGCACCAATCACTGGGAAAGTTGAGATTCCTGCCTTCACTGCGTCCCTGCAAGAGTGCACACTACTCTGAGTGCTACTGTGATTTCTGGGCCTGAGCAGGCAATGGGCATAGCGCCCTACCCTCCAATCTGGTCACCTCTTCTTATGTCTCCTACTCTAATGACTCCCCCTACCACAGAGAAGCCCTTGTTCAACCTAAGCCATAACTGAGGACTGGTAGGGACCCTGGCCTAGAGTAAGGGCTCTCAAACTGGAGTGTGTATCAGCCCACTCTCTAGAGTTTCTGATTCAGTAGGTTCTGGGTAAGATTTGAGAAGGTGCAGATCTAACAGGCTTCCCTGTGCTGCTGCTGTTGGTCTGGGGACAGACTTTGAGAACCACTGGTCTAGGGCCTGGGTTTTAAGCTGATAAAGAAATAGCACCTCAGGGCATTGCTGGCTTCAAGAGTGGTCTTGTGCCTCTGGGCAGCCATGTCCTCCAATTAGACTCCCTTGATCAAGCTAGCTGCTGAGAGTCTGCTGCTGCATAAGACTGGTAAGAATCTGGAGTTAAATTACTTGGCTGTGATGGCAGAGTTGGCTGAGGCCAAGCCTGGCCTAGAAGCTGGGCTCCTAACATCCTGTGAGGAAGATCCAGGGAGCACAGAGCATGATCCCCGAAGCCTTCAGGCCTGAACACATTACCCCATCCAAGAGGCCCTTCTCAAGTGGCCTTCGCATTCAGGCCCTTTCCCTTCTCCCTTACAGGACCCTCCCTGGTTCTACCCTGGGGGTGTGGAGGGAAGTAAAAGAGGGATTTAAGTCCCAAATGTGGCTTTCCCCTCTCCAGTTTAGTTTTCTGCCCCTGTAAAGTGGGAGGATGCTCTTCTCCTCACCCAGTTGATAGGGATTTAATAGATACGAATGGGCATTAAACTCCAAAGTCAGCACACCAAGCACCTAAGAACCTGGGCTCTGGAGCCACACCTAGGGCCCAACCCTGGCATCACAACTTACCACCTGTGTGACCTTAGCCAAGTTATTCAATGTCTCTGTGCGTAAGTTTCTTTAGCCAAGGAGAATTCTAGTAGTACCTACTTGTTAGGCTGTTGTGACGATTTAATGACTTGATGCACAGAAAGCATGTAGAACAATATCCACCATGCACCATCGGGTGCTAACACGTGACCAGGCCCCGGTACCAGGCCCAGGAGCTGATGGGAGTCAGTTCTTCACCAAAGGAATGACTCTGATGGGGATGTTTCCAGTGCCTGTGGCAGAATAATGGGACATGTTGGGCCTTTCAAACTCCAGCACATGGGTGGCGCCTATGTTCTCTGAAGTAGGGCTATTTCCAGATGGAACAGAAACAGAAGAGGTTCTAAAAGCCAAATGTTTTGAGCACACAGGTCAAACCCACTTGATAAATGATATGTGAGGATCAGAAAGGGAAGTGAGGTGCTAAGGGTACCCAAATTGTATGCAAAGCCTGGTCAGTCCATAACCCTGCTGCCTGTCCCTGGTGCCTCATTTCATGGGGCCAAAGGGAAGGCAGGTGTGGGGCAGGCCCCATGTTATCTGCCTCTCTGCTTTGGATGTCTTAAAACCTGTGATTTTCCCCCTGAGATTTAACAATCATTTTGCTTGCATATAACTTGAGATTGTCTTAGAGTACAGGGAAAATAATTATATACACGGGAAAAAAGAGAGGCAGAGAGGGAGGGTGGAGAGAGAGAAATGAAACCATAAAAATCAGAATTCTAGAACCTCAAAGGCAGAAACTACTGGAGACACTGCTGAGTACACCCTTCTTATTGCGCTTACTGATAGGGAAGCTGAGGCCCAGTGACTAGAAGGAGGTGAGCTGAGACCAGAAGTCAGGCATCCTGACTCCTGGGCCTGATCCCTTAAGAACATGAATTACCTGCTCCAGAGGGGGCAAGAGGGAACACTTGAGAGGAAGGGCAGGGCTGGGGGCTGAGACAGAATCCTTGGGGGGTCCCACGTCCTGACCCAACCTTTGTCCTGGTCACAGCCTCAGCTCTCCTCACCTGAAAGACTGCATCCACACTCACCTAGTCTTCCCACTGGCAGCAGCTTCCTATCCAGCTCTTGTTGCACGCTGCATCCAGGGAACGTCCTAATCAGCCAACAGGGCCACAGCATCCTTCTACTTCTAGCATTCCATGCTCCACAAACTCCTGAGCCTCCAAACACCATTCCACACCAAACCTGGCCAAGTGCGCTTTGCTCTCCACCCTACTAGGCCTGCCTCCTCACCACCCCTACACACACCCCTCTGAACTCTCTTCTGCCTCTGGGCCTCACCCGAATGCCTTACTCCTTTCTTTCTCCATCTCAGTTCCATAAGGAAGTCTTCCTTGATCTCCAGCTGAGGACAGGTTTCCTATGAAAGGCTCTCAAAGTGCCCTTCCTTAAAATATTATCCAGTATTTATCACTGCTACAATGTTTTGAGCACATAGATTATAATGCAATTGATGTCTTCTCCCCACAAGGAGTGGGCCAGGAAATGCCTTGCACACCATTGTATCCCCAGTTTGGTACAGGGATTGGTACACTCTTTACAATACAGCCATTGAATGAGTAGATGAGTTGAGACATCTTAATAAAAATTGCTGGGGGGTTCTTTTCTGAGAAAATGTTCCATGGTCTTGGACACCCCAACAGTGCCTGCCCCAGCCCAAGCTGCTTCTCCAAGAAAAGCATGGATGTGTTCCATGAAACCCTGGAGTCAGGACCGAGGACCAGGGAGTCCTACAACTTTTATCTCCTGTCCTCCCCCTCACCTCTGGCCCCTCACAATTTTTGACAAGTTGCTACCTCCTTCCCTCCCTCCCAGCTCCCTGGGCAGCTGGTTATATAACTAGGGATTCTGCATTATTTATGACCACTGATTATTTTTTAATTCTGTGATTACATTATTTGTCTTCCTGGGGGCTGTGGCATTGGGGAGGGGGAGTGAGTTGACCATGATTCATGATTCTCATCCTGCAATTTGGCCTAATTGGCCCAGGAGCATCATGAATCTGTCTGGAGGGGGAGAGTGCAAAGGGAAAAGGGAGGTGAGAAAAAAAGGAAAAAATCTGCACAATTCTTGCTGAGCTGTGGGTGATGGAGCTGACCCACTTTGGCACAGCTCCATGGTCCCCAGCCTCTCCTGCTCCAGCTGTTTCCTGGCTGGGCCACATTTATTTCATGCTGTATGGGCCACGGCTCTCCTGGCTACCTCATACACAGTACCTTGCCATGTGCCTGATCCCCAAGAAAATCAGGTGGGCGGACCTTCACTGCCACTCCAGGCTCCAAAAAGGTTTTGCCCACCCCTCCACCCTCCTGAAATGCTCAGGCTAAGGTGGGCAACTGTGCCCTTAAATTACATTCTACCCAACGGCTAGTGTGATGGGAGGGATACCTGTGGTCAACCCAGGAACATTTTGAGCCCCATGCTGAGTGACATCTTGGGGAGGGAGAAACCAAGGAGAAGGAGGAAGCCAAGTACTGAGGTAAGTTCCACATCTGGGGGCTAAGAACAAGGTCCTTTACACCTGCCCTTGCAGGCTTCCGATTGGTAGGAAACAGAGAGAGCAGTGGGGAGGCAGATTCCCACCCAGAAACACAACAATGAGATTCCTGGAGAGCGTGTGGGATTCTCACTGAGGACAAAATCCAAATTCTGTACTGTGGCCTGCACGTGCTGTGTGCCCTTGCTGCCTGCTCTCTTCCTCCTAGGTCCCTCCACTCCAGCTGCATTAGCTTCCTTGCTGATCCTGACCATGCCAAGCACACTTCCTCCTCAGAACCTTTGCCCTCGCTCCTCCCCCTGCTTGGTGGCTCATTTCCAGATATCCATTTGACTTGTACCCTCACTTCCTTTGGGTCTCTGTTCAAATGCCATCTTATTGGAGACCTGCTTCTCACCCCCATCACTGTCCCCTTTCCCCGCCAGAAGAGGGTAGGACTGCCTGCTGCAGGGCCCTGGCTCTGACCTCCTTGATCATGCTAAGACACCACTGTGACTCCAAAAGAACAAGGCCTTACATGGAGCTGAGGAGCAGGCCAGTGCTAGAATATTTCATCAATAATATTGAACAGATTTGGAGCTAGTTTTGTGCCCATCACTGAGCAAAGTACACTGTATTTAATATCATATTTAATCCTCACAACCACCCTAGAGCTGGTGAGGGGGTGGAGGCATAAGATTCTGTATCCTCATTTTAGAGATGCAAAACAAAAGCACAGAGAGGTAAGTTAACTTTCCTAAGTTCACACAGCTAGGAAGGGGTAGAGCTCAGATGTGAACCAGGGACATCTGGTTGCAGAGCCCAAGCTCAGCCCCTAGGCTGTGCTGCTTTGCCAAATTATGATCCACAGAATTCTGAGGAGCTTAGAGAGCTTGCAGGGATTAGCCTGGAACCCTGTAGTACTGGGGAACCTAGGAGAGATGAAGGCTAATTAATGATTGACTGCCACATCCCTCTGCTGCACAATTTTTGCTTTCAAGACACTTTTACATTCCTCACCTCACTTAGTCCATAAAACAATTTTCCTTACCCATGGGACAGAACTTGCCCCCTATCACCCTGGGGGGAGCCAGGGGGTTGGGAGGGTGGGGGAGAGGGAATTCCAAATCCTTTAGGGGTGTGAGTAGGTGTTGGTCCCCCAATAAATCCTTGTAAGATCACTCTGAGGTGTGAATTATCATCATCCCCATTTCAGAGATGAGCAGACTGAGGCTGGAGGGACTGGGGAGCAGTGTTTCAGTGCTTCTCATCTTTCTATGAATTTCAGGCTGTATGCTCAAGAGGGTGAGGAGGCTCTGCCGTGACCCATGGTATGTGGGGAAGGGAGCGGCACATGGAGGAGGAAGAGGACAGCAGAGGGGATACAGCTAACCCTTCCTCTCCGCTGGCCTTGCTCCTTCATCAAGCACCCTGTGCTGCTCCCTGGCAGTCTTGTATGCGAATCTTGGCTTCACATCTAAGTGTTTCACCCTCCTGAGACCAGAACCCAGCTGGTGAACTCTGAGCTGGTGCTGCCTGGAGAGTGGGATGTGATAAGGGAACCCTCTCAATCTTAGGCCTACCCATGCCCCCACTGAAAAATGCCACACAAAGCAACTGAAAAGGAGAGACAGGCAGATCTAGCTTTACAGCCCCATTGGAGGATCAAGAGCCAAGATCACAGGTTCCTTCCCCAGGGGCAGGTGGGGGGTGCAACCCTTTATCCCAAACCAGGGCCTGGCGCTCCTAAGTGGTAGCCTCATTCCTGACAAAGCCCATCCCCCAGGAACGGTATCTTCTCTTCTGCCTGGGCCTTGGGGGCGGGGGGCTCACCTGCCTTCCCCATCACTCCTTTCTGCCCATCACCCCATCTCCAGACCCTGCCTAGGGGATAGGGGAGCTCTGAGGTCTGCCCCCCTTCCTAGCTGGGTGCCATTGGCAGCAGGCAGGTGGTGGCATATGGGGTAGATTCTGGTTGCCATAGCAACCTGCCAAAGTCTTGGGTGGAGGCACATGGCCTACAGGGGATGTGGGGGGAGGGGACTAATCTTTCTCTGTCCTGGCTTAGGCCTCTGAGCAGCACAGCCCATGAACCTGAAGTTCTGCTGTTCAAGACATGGGAGTGGGTGAGTGTGTGTGCTGAGAAGGGAGGGAGGTGATATCTCAAAGATCTGCAAATAAATCCTAGTGCTTCTGATCTTCCTTCCTCACCCCCTAAAGGGCACCTTCTCAGAGTATCACAGCATGAGCATAAGGTATCATCTCTAGGAGGTCCCTAACAAAATGGAGATTGCCCATTAACCCACCTGCTCAAGTCCCAGAGTAGGCATCAGGATCTGAGTTCTACTGAGTGCCACTGGTAGGCTCTGTGACCTTCAACAAGCCCCCATCCCTCTTTGAGCCTCAATTTCTTCAACAGTAAATGAACAGGGCTTGTCTGGATGAACTGTGAGATGCCTTCAAGCTCTGGATGGCTCTGTTGGGAGTGGGGTGGCGGGGAGAGCAGATGCCTGCAAGATGCTCAGCTGGTCAGTTGGGAAAAGGTTCTGTGCTATATCAAAACTGACTCCCAGGCTTAGAATCAACCCGGGTTCTTTCTGGGTGGGCCTGCTGGGACATAGGTCCCATGTCCCTGCTCAAGACTGAGACTCTGGAACTGACTCAAGTCAGTTCCCCTGACTGATGGAACCACAGAACATCTGAAATAGATGGGGGGTAGGGAGAGATAAAGAGGGATGGTAGTCCTTTGGACAATGAGGTTGAGGGAGGAGTTACTCATGGGCATTAAGCACCAAACTGCATTCCCCAGAGATGTTCAGCCCAGATCCTGGCCAGCCCAGTTCATGAACAGAAGCACCACCACCTCTTTCTACCTGCAGGAACAGCCGTTCCTGCCTCCTGAGGAAGGGCTACCTGGGAGGCTCCATGAGGCTGACTCTGGGCAGAGGGGCTGCCCTGCCCAACCTCAGTTCCTGTCCCGAATCTCCACTCTGGACACAGCTCCCTTCAAACACTCCCTGCTCCTTGGATCTTGGGCCAGATTACAAGGCCACTTTGCCAGTCTGGAGTTAGTACCCATTATCACCCCCTTTCCTCTATCTTCCTAGAGCCCACATCCACCCTGCATAGCTGACTGGGAAAGCCTGAGCCCATAACTCCAATTCAATCACTCTCCCTGCCATCTCTGCAGGGGCCCTGGTTACAAGGAGTTGAAATTTGCCTAAAGCCCACCTAGCTGGCATAATGGCACCCAGTGGGCAAATTCAGGTCAGTGGCACAGAACGCTGGTCATGCATTTTGGGCTTGAACACAGCCCAGGGGGCAGGGCCGAGGACATGTGTACTTCATTACCCCAGCAATGTGGGAAGCAGTAATTAAACCAGGCTCCACTTAGAAAGACAGAGGGACACACATCCTTGGCTCTCTAGGTGACTTTTCAGCCTTGGCAAAAAATTTTCAGAACTGTGGGATAGGGATACATCCCTTTAGAGGAGATTCCTGCCCCTGCCAATGTACACAGGAACTCTGATATCCACTAGCAGCCCCCTAGACTCATTTCTACCTCAGGGCAGGGAGGACCTGATTTTTTCAGGCTCAAGTGTTCTGTATTATCTGGGGAATGCTCTGAGCTGGGCTCCAAGCAGTGGGGACTGTTTCATTAGAGCCATCTACGCTCTTCCAGGACCCCTTGTGACCAGCTCAGAGCCTGGGAGGCAGATGGTGGGGTCAAAGGTCAGCTGGGGCTCCAGAACAGTGTATCCCACAAAGAGGTTATGGTGGGACTCAGTCCTTACTGGCTACCTTGGCAGCCCTGAGTATAACCACAGAGCCAAGGGCCCATTACATGCTGCCCAAACAGTCTCTGCAACACTAAGGCCACCCCTGCCCTGGGTTATTGTGAGATTTCTAGCAGAGCAGATCTGGGGAAAGGAGAACAAGGAGGAGTTACCCAGCAGAGTGGCACACGTGCACACACACACACACGCGCGCGCACACAGAAACATACATGTGAGAGTATGTTTTTGTGCCAGGCCCTGGAAAACTGGTCTAGGGTCCATCTGGCCCCTCACTCACCTCCCTGAGCTCCTTGGCCACCTCCTTGAGCTCCCGCAGGATGCCCTCGAGCTGCCCGATGACCATCTTCATGCGCTGTCTAATCCGCTCACGCTCGCCACCACTGCTGGGGTTGTCACTGGGCTGCCCGAGGTCCGGGGTGCCCCGAATGTTCATCCTTCACCACGTGGCTGCAGGCCTGTCCATACTCCCCCCAGCCAGGCACACACTGCGTCTGCCTCCACAGAGCCCCCCTCAGCCAGGCAGAGCTCCACATCTTAACGGCCCCCCAGCCCACCCTGGCCCTGGGTGGCCCTCACCCAGCCCCTGCCCCCTGCCACCCCGCCTCCTTTGCCTCTGGATGGGGAATGGGACACCCAGAGGGAGACAGAATCTGACACAAGGGGTCAAGGTGAGGACATAGGAGGGCAGGGGGAGGGGCCTTGGATCTCAGGAGTGGCCTCCAGGACTTGAAGTGCCTATAGGTATGCTGGGCTAATGTCTGACTGAGCCCAGAGGCAGGGGGATGACTCTGCAGGGACTAAGGGTAAGACATGCCCTTGGGATTGGGGAAGGCAGCAGCAATCCCCTCACAATTCTTGGGCAGTTGCCAAGGCAGAGGTCTCTGGATGCAACTGACACCTGCAGAAGGATTGTGGCTGGGGTCTTCCAGATATGGAGGGAGCTCCAGATGTGGGCAGCTCTGGGAAGGGAGCTGGATTGGAGGAGGGCAGCCCCCTGCAGAGAGAGGAAGCCTGGCATCAGCCCTCCCAGGCTGCAGCACCAGCGGCAATGCCTCCCTCCTCTCCACAGCCTGTACCCTTCCTCGCTGGGGATTCCATTTTCTTCTTTGTGGGGAGGGGTGGTGGAGGCAGATGGTCTACAGCACAGCCCCTCTTCGAGAAGGAAAAGAGACAGCCCCTGCTTTAGAGGCATAAGTCTTCAGCCTGCGATGGGGCACTGAGACCCAGGTCCCCACAAACACCCGTCCCCAGCCAGGCCTTGCCCCGGAGGGTCTCTCTAGTCTTCGCCCTTTCTCCTGGTGCCCCCAAGGTGTCCTCGTTCCCAGCAGACCCTCCCCTGCCCAGCCCCGCCTTCCCTCAGAACCCCACTCTGCTCCCTGACTCACCGTGGGTGGGAGCACCGGCCTGCCTTCCGAGCAGCGTCGGGGGCCAAGCCCCAAGATGAGGTTGGGGGGGCCCCCCAGGCTCCCTAGGGCGGGCTTCTCTCTCTGGACCCTTCAGCCCCTGGCCTCAGGGAGGTCCTCAGAGCCGCCCCTGGAGACATCTGGACGGTGGGAAGGGGGCGGGGCCTCTGCGCTCCCTAAAAGGGGGGCAGGAAAAATTTCCCTCAACCCTCTCCGGGTTCCGGGTGGGGAAGCAGCGAGGGTCTGGCGGGTCTGGGGCTCTCAGGCCACAGGTGACCAGGGGGCAGGGTGTCCGAGGCGACGCCTGGCCAGTCCCAGTGTGTCAGCCAAAGTCGGAGGGATCAGAGGGCGCCAGGATCCCCTCAACGGGCGCCTGGCATTCCCCGGGCTCGGCACCGCCCGTGCTTTGCTCGGTCCAGTCCAGAACGGAATGAGCTGGCACCTCTGGGTGCCCCGGACGCACTCAGCTCCGACCCAGGATGTCCGCGCTCCCGC